CCTGCAAACGCGGTGAAGAGTTCGATGTGTCAGGTCTTACCTCTTCCAGATCTGTTTCCTCGGTGTCAAGTGGGCATAACAAGACCTCTAACCAGGCTGAGGTCAGGTGCAAAAAAGGAGATGGACAGCTGCTCTGAGAGGGACAGGCCCCAGCCCCACCGGTCCTGCAGCTTCCCTGGGCCCGCACCAGAGGCCCTCGAGACCCCCCAGGAACCAGACTGCTCCAGAGCGTGGGTGCCTATCTCCTCTGTGAGGCTGCCAAAATCCTGAGCTCACCTCCGATGAGGACACCCGAAGGACTAGAGACCCATCTCAATCCCGGAGCCGGTGCACAAGTCCTCTGATGCAGCGATCCTAACCAGGCACTGGCAATGGGAGTCTGGCGTGACCCTCCGGGGTTTACCTGTCGCGAACGCCAAGGAGCCTCACCACCAGGACACCGAGCAATAGACCCCACTGCAGAAACTACTAATTAAACGAGGGGACATGTCCTTGTATCAATAAATCGTGAAAGGGTATTTCTCTTAAACTCATCAGTCGTCCCTCATAAAGAAATCTAATTGAAATATGAATAAATAGTGTAAGCTGAATAAAGACTGATTTCAACTCCAAAAGCAAACATCGACTCAAGGTGCCACCGGGAAGTCCTTCGGTGAACAGACACGCCCTGGGCCGTGTCATCAGTCAGCCGGCTTCACAGGCCCCGCTAATGCAACAGGCACAAAAATTGAATACACAATAAAAATGTTGGGAAAGCAGAGTTGCGTCTTCATTTGTACACTGCCTGGTGGTGTACCTTGAACATCTAAGAGACGACACCAACAATGGAATGTGCAGAGCTCGGTGTTGGAAAATAAGTAGCTTTTCCTTGCGTGGGTTCAGCGCTGTCGGTGGCCGCCCCACGTCATGCCCACACCCTCTGCACCTTGTGGACGCCCCTGCGTGTAAGCCCCACGCTTCTGGAATTCAGGAGTGCACTCAGCAGCCTCCCAGCCCCGAGGGCGTCCCTACATGACTTTGGCTCCGCCGGGGAGATGCATCCAGACCACACCACGGAGGAGGGCTGAGGAGGGGCGAGGGGCCGCGCTCCGCCCGCCCGGAGAGCCCCTCCTGAAAGCCCTCCACTGACTCCCGCGGCCTCAGCTGTCGCACTCACACGTGTGAGCACAGCCTGAGCGAGGAGTGGAACTTTACTCCTTCTGTCACAGTTTTTCTCTCCAGACCCATCTCACCAGGAGGCGGAAGCCCGATGTCTTGGGCTCTTCCTTCCCAGGGCTGCGTGCAATGAGGGACGACAGGCAGATCCACTGCCTCACCCCTGCCCTACCTGGTCCATGCACAGCACCTGGGACACACAGGCTGTGCCCTCAGTTGGGTCACTGTGGCCTCGCCCTGACCCTTGTTCCCAGGCCCCACCACAGCGTGGAGGCCCCAGGCTGTATGCAGACCCCCGACGCAGACCTCCGCCGGCAGGTACTGCTCAGAGGTCCTGCCACTCAGCAGCCTCTCTCTGGGATGCGCCGCATCCTCCGCTCCTTCCAGCCCCTCTGCCGGCTCAGCCCAGGGCCATCTCTGCCTAGTTTGAGGAAGGTCCCGCTCTCCCTCCCCGTCTTGAAGCGTTTCCACGGGCTTCTCTGCAGACTTACTCCCTCTGACTCAGAGAGGCCCGTGGCACCGTAGGGGGGCGGAGCTCTTGGAAACATGGAGGCCAGTGATCCACGGGCTCCGTCAGTTGTCTGCCCTATTGATCCCCCAAACCCTCAGCCGTCCTGCTTAAATGAAGGCCAGGTAGGGGGGTGGGTACTTCTAGAAAGAACAGCATGAAAGAAAATGAATAACCAGCTCACCACACCGAAAATGACCACTGTGGTTTAAAGAAAAGGAGGAAGTCCCAGTTACAACCACCAAAACTACAGGTTACCTAGCTTAGACGCCAAGGGAGGTACAAGACCCACGGGGGGAAATGAGCCAGAACAGAGGTGCGATCAGGTGGCCACCGGATGGGCAGGAGCTCCGCACTCCCACGTGGGGAGTCCTCATGCCGTGGAGACAGCCTCCAGCCCCGGCGGCACACAAACCAGTGGAACTGCAGTCCACATCCTGAATCTGAGTGTTATTCCGGAACTGCACAAACGGATTCCAGCATTCACCTGTAAGAATAAATCGCAAGAAGTGACAATCTGCTTTTCAAAAGAGGAGCAAGGAGGGGACTCGCCTCACCAGGTGGTGAACGTGACTTGAAGCTGCCGCGCCCGGTGGGGCCCACGCGCAGTGGCCGGAACACACACCACGGGTGCCATGCACGCTATGACCAAGGTGGCACTTGGAGTCACGGGGAAAGACAGGTGTGTTCATGAACGGCATTGACAAACACCAGCCATGTATTTCAAAGAGGTCCTGCCTCCTGCTGCATGGTAAACAAACTCCGGGTGCATCGGGTATCTGAAGGAAGTAGCCAAATGCGTAACAATAGCAGAATATAAAGACTGTTTACCTAAGATAAGGACAGAGGAGGCTCTCCTATATGATCTGAAAGCCAGAAACAATAAAAGAACAATTAGATTCAACCACATGGAACTTGAGGATGTGCACGCATGTACTGGGAAAACACCAAAAACGAAGATACTTGGAAAACACAGACCACGGGAAAGATGGTACCTCACTCACAAGAGGGCCTCATACTTCTGTAAGAAAAGACAAAAGCCCAAAGTGGACCAAGGGTGCAACCGGCAATTACAGAGGAAACGTTCATTAAGTCGGGACAAACTCGTAAGACGTTCAATCTCACTACTAAGTTCTCCAATGGAAATCAGGATAAGACCCTACTCTTCGTCCCCCAGGCTGACGGGAGCTCCCAGGGGATCCATGGGGTAAGGGTGGAGGGGCCCGGGAGGAGGGACGGGCTCAGTCTTCCTTCGGGGAGATCTACTCCTTCCGAGGAGATGTTTTTCTGGCTCAGCCACACACTTCCTGAATCCCCCTGAGACGGAGAGTCACTGGATCCCATAAGGACATGAGGGTGAGGGTGGTCACGGCAGCGCTGATCAGGGGCTGAGAGCGGACCCCTCTGCCCTCAGGTGAGGGGTGGCTAAGAAAAGCACGGTTTGCTCATGCAGGGGAATACTAAGCAGACGGTGAAAACAAAAGGTCCACGTGGATCCGGAAAGGATGACCCTGGTGGATTCTTCAGAAAAATTATCAAGTGGCACACATAGCGCTGTCCATGTGCCCAGGCGGACCCAGCACACCTCACAGACGGTGGGGCTCAAGCCTGCCATGACAACTCATCACGGTGGAGACAGCTCACTCACTCTCAGGCGTGGGGACCCAGACTTGGATGGGGTGGCTCTGGAGCGGAGAGCGGAGAGCTCAGAGCAGGCTCTCTGGGCCACACTGCCCCCCCGCGCCCCCCTTCGCCTTGAATCGCACAGCTGGAAGGATCTCCCCACTTTTTGTGTTTTAAATACATCCCTCAGGTAATAAATTCTCACACAGAGATTGGCCTGAAAGTTGGTTTGAACCCATGGGGCGGCATCTCGTCCTCTGGGAACCTCCGGGGCCCCCATGGAACCGCATCCTAGGTGGCACCAGCTTCCGGCCTCTGAATCCTCAAGCTGCCCTTCACACTTGCCCTGAGTGAGAGTGCCCAGTCCCTACACGCCCCCTAACACCAGACACAGCGGTGGGCAGCACACTTTACTGAGGTTTGGGCAGGATGGGAACAGGGTGCATTGCAGGGCAGCAAAGCAAACTTAAAACGGAGCGGGAGACACGTCCCTGGCCAGTCCTACCAGCAGGAGGTGGACACAGTCTCCAGTGACTCCTCTCCTGTCTTGTTCACCCCGGGTTCCCAGGTCCCTCTCCCTCAACCAAACGCAGGAGCCCCGGGAGGAATGCCATGGCCAGCTCTTAGTGAAACCACGGTTCTTGCCAAGGGGTCCAGGACCCAGGAGCACCCACAGCCTGGGTCGGCCACAGAAGGATGAGGAAGAACTGACTAAAGACCAGACTCCAGAGAAGCCCGGAATGACTGCTGACATCACATGGTGAGCCTGGGCCACGCCTAGGAGCGTGGGAGATTGGGCTGAACCCAGGGGTGCAAGGACAAAACCAGAGACCCACCGCCGGAGCAGGAAGGGCCAGAAGTGGTCCCTAAGATCTACCTGCAGGTGCTCCCCTGCCTCCTCCCGCCCGAAGCGCCCAGTGCATATGCGCCATCCCACGTGCGGCCGCCTCAGCCCCTGCTCAGGGGCTAGCCTTCACGACCCTGCCCAAGGAGGTCCCCTAGGTGGGGGCAAGGGGTCTCCGGTTGAGAGGCCGAGTCTGGGCGCAAGAGTGCTCCCAACAGCTCTTTGGGGAGCGGGCCCCAGAGTCTGATCACCCCAAGGCTCCATGAAAGAGCAAGTGAGAGAAAGAGCAAGAGGAAGGGACACGCAGGGCACGCGTGTCTTCGTGTCCCTAGACACCGAGGGCCAAGAAGCGTGTGTGCACAGACGTGCGTGTGTGTGGGCTGGGGCACACCAGTCCAGGCGCTGGTGTGACATGCGTGTTTCAGCGTGCACACCTGTGGACGTCTGCGGGGGCTCGCGTGTGCATCTGTGCGAGTGGGCGTGGGCGCGGAGCACACCTCTGCAGGCATGGATGTGCGCATGCCTGCACGTCTGGTGTCACGTGCACTCACACACGCTTACAAGGCCTTACCTCGTGTCCCTGTCCCGAGATTCTGTCCACTCTAACCTCTGCTCCCATCAGCTACCAGGCCCCAGGTGCCCCAGGCTGCCCAGCACACCCACAAACCCCCAGTCCCAGTGCCCCACGTCCTTGGAGCCCCTCTCCCTGCTCTGCCAGCCTGACCCCCACACCCAGGCTCAGACCCAGGTCTCTGGACCAGAAGTGAGTTTATTTCTCTGCGGAAGATGCCCTCGCAGCCGTCGGTTGGGCTGGGCCTGGCTCTGCCTGGGCTCCCCCTCGGAGACCTGGGGGTCCTGGTCCCCAGCCCACACCCCCCGGGTCCGGGTCCTCCTGCAGACACTGGGTTTCCTAGAGGCGTCCTGCTGGCCGGGACTCAGAGCTGGTGGAGAGAGGGAAGCCACACGGCTCAGGGAGGGGCGAGGGCCAGGCTCCAGGGAGGAAGCTCAGAGCCCTGCAGGAGGGAGAGGGCCTCAGGGCCCAGCCCCAAGGAGGGCAGGCCCGAGGCTGAGCAGGAGGCCCCCGGCCAGGGCCCAGGGGCTGCCCCCCGCCCCCGGCCCCCCATTGCACAGGTCTCCCCCGCAACAGTCCACGTCCACTTTTAAGATCCCAGAGTTAATGAAGCCCATCAGATAGTCTGAGAAGAAGTGTCGCTTCACGAAGTCACAGGATGAGGCGCACATCTTGTTCACGGAATGATCCTTCCTGCCTGGGGAAGAGGAAGGAGAGCCTGGGACAGAGGCGGCACCTGGGCCCTCTCTGCGTCACGCCCAGGCCCAGGACCCAGCCCGGGACGCAGCTCGGGACCCCCAGACAGCAGAGCTGAGCTTTTCAACCCACCCACCCTGTCTCAGCGATCTGGAGAGGGCCACACCGGGAACCTGCGCAGCCTCACACAGCAGGCCACCCACAGCCCTGCACCTTTAGTCGAGGACAGAGGGGCTCAGATGACACCCCCAACCGCTCCCCACCCAGGCCCCGGTCCCGACTCACTGCTACTGGGGTCGGTGATCCGGACGCTGGCGCACACTGTATCCGACGGCTGGCACTGCTTTGGGGTGCAGTGGCTCGAGTTGGTGGTCAGGGTGCAGTCCTGGCACCACAGGCCATGAGCTGGGCAGGGCAGAAGGACTCCGATGACCAGAGGAACCGGGGCCAAGCCAGCCGTCCCCCTGCCCCCCCCCCGCCTCCTGCGGGCACTGCCAGGAGAACCAGGCCACTGTAGGAGGCCGAGCACCCCCTGCCAGGAGGGAGCAGGCACCTGAAGGTCAGGCCCTGGGAGAACCTGTGTGCCTTCCCGGCAACTTCGGGGGAGGGTCCCACCACTGCCACTCTGGCAGCCCCTGGGCGCCTCCGTGGGGCAGGCACAGGTGCGCACAGCCAGCCCCACATCTCTCACCCCTCTGGTGCTCTCCGGCACACTCCTACCCCTCCCACAGCGCCCCGCAGGCTTCACTTGTTCCAAGGAAGGAAGGACCACACAGACTTGATGGGAGACCAGGTGAGGCTCTGAGAAGCGATGGAGCGCGAGAACCCCGCCCTGAGCGAGGGGCGTCCGCGCAGGACTAGCCGCCGGTGCGGAAAACCAGGAGGAAAACCGCTCGGTGCCCCCAGGAGCCGGGAGGGCCCCGCGTGGCTGGGGCTGGAGTTGGAGTACCGTGAGTGAAGGCGACAGGCGCGAGGGCCGGCTGGTGTCGCCAGGGTCCGGGAGAGGGTGTGGATGTGACCAGCACCGTCGGAGGATGGCGGCCCCGCAGCCCGGCTCTCTCCGGAGCCGCCTCGGGCTCCTCCGGCGACCTGGCCCAGCCCCGCGGGGCGCCCCCAGACTCACCGGGCGCAGAGCACAGCAGGGCGGCCAGCAGCACCAGGCCGAGGCCGTTCATGGCTGCAGGCAGCATGCTCCAGGCGGGCCTCGGGAAGGCGCGGGGGTTGTGGGCGGAGGTCCTCCGGGCGCGGGCCTGGCAAGGAGAAGCCTCGGTCAGGAGCCCCAGCCTCCTGCCAAGCCCGAAGCCCCCTCCCCTCCTCTGGCACGGGATCGCAACGTCCCCCCTCCTCGGAATCTCAGAGCTGGGGTGGGGGGGTTGTTCGCAAGCTCGCAAAGCCCCACCCCCAGCCCATCCCCCAGAGCGTCCACCATCACAGCATCCCCTCCAGGGAGAAGAGGTCTCCCGTCTCGGGCAGGGTGACAGCTCGAAACGCCCCAACCCGCTCTTGGCACCTGTGGGGTGGGGGGTCAGGGGGAGCGCGTCTTCTCCTCCCTAGGGAGCGGTAGGTGCGTCCGGAGAGAAGAGCGCTAGACAAGGTGCGAGCAGGCCGTACCTGCCGAGGGAGGAGGGGCGCGAGCCACGTCCCCACCCCCACCCCTGGGCTGGGGGCCCGGGAACCCCGCGCCGAGTTCCCTCCCGTTGCCTCCTGCGCGTGCCCTGGCGCTCACCGCAGGTCGGGGCGTGGAGCGCGGGCCTCGGGTCGGGGGCACACTCACATCCCTGGGGGGTCGGCACTCCGGGGCTCCGGGAGGCGCGAGGAGCGGTGCCCTTCGGTCTCCCTGCGGACCGGAACCCGGGCGCAGCCTTGTCTTTCGGGGAACGCAGCCGCAGACGCGGACCCCGCGCGAGGGGCGGAGCGGAGCCGGGCGGGGGCGCGCGGGGGGCGGGGGCGGCGGGAGAAGCGCGGGCGGGGCGCCCGGGGCTCGGTGCCGCGGCGGGTCGCTGCCCTGGGCCGTCCGCGCCCCTCGACAGGCAGCGCCCGGCCCGCGCGTCCGCCCCCTCCGGTGCCGGCTCCCTCCGCGGCCGCCCCGCGCACCCCTCCCCCAGCGTGGGCAAGATCCCTTCCCCCTCTGCTTGGCCGAGATCCCCCCCGGAATTTCTCGGAAGAACGTTTACGGCGAAAGGAAGCGAGCGAAACGCACAAAGACGCAGAGAGTGGGGGAGGTAACAGCGAAGGTGATTCGCGCAGCTCCTGGTTCGCAGGCTCCCGTACCTGGAGCCCTCCCCTCCCCAGCTCCGTCGTTGCGGCTTCGATGGTTTGAGGCTGCACTCCCCCACCCCGCCCCGGCCCAGAGCACCCGCGACGACCCCCGCCAGCCACCGCTGCCCCAGGGATTGAGGGCTCCAACCACGCCCCCGTCGGAGGGCCGAGTCCCAAGGGCTGGTCGCGGCATTCAAGGCCGTCCGCCGCCTGCTTGGCCAGTTTCTCAGCTTTGTCTCTCGCCTTCCCGCCCCACAAAGCTTTTGAGTGCTGTGCCTTTGCGCTTGCCGTCCCCTGTGCCTGGAATCCTTCTCTGCTGAGCACTGAGTAAGCCCCAGCTACTGCGCAGGAGTTGGGGGTCCTTCCTTTTTGCCCTGCCTTCATTTGGCCAACAAATATTCATGGAGTACCCACTGTTAGCCGATCGCTGCCCTGGGCCTGGGACAACACAATGAGAAGTTTCACCCAGTCTTGGATCAGACAAAGGATCATCACTGGTATGCCCTTGTGAGAGGAGCCAACCACAGTTAGCCTTGACTGAGCACCTAGTGTGTGTGCTGTTCCAGGCACGTATGTCATAGCTTCACCCCCACCTGCTGTGGAAGTATTCTTGACATCCTCATCTTACAATGAGGAAGCGCAAGCACAGAGAGCTTGAGCTCCCTGCCCAAGGTCACACGGTGACCAGGTGACACTGCCAGTATTGGAACCTAAGCGGCTTGGCGGCAGGACCGGTACACCTCAGTGCTCAGCGCTCTGGAGGACTGAAGGCAGAGGACGCAGACAAGCAACCCCAACCTGGGGACTGGGGCTCCCACAGATTCAATTCAAACAGGAGTTCAAAGTCAAAAATCAGCAAACGTCCAAAGAAAACAGGCCTACAGAGACACAGCAGAAGCAGTGAAGAGGAACAGATTCCAATCTCTACAAACTTTCTAAACTGAAAGTGGTAGATATAGAATATAAAATTAACCTATCTTGTGGGTTTAAGATATACTTAAAGGAAAGAACAAGGCACTATCAAAACTGACTGTGCTTAGCTGAAAAAAAAAAGGAGAGCCTCTAGAAATAAAAAAAAACTTTCCACTGAAATTAAAAGGTTATCAGAAACGTTGAGAGATGTATGCCAAATGAAAATAAAGTCACTAAAAACATACATGGTATGGTTTCACTTCTATGAGACTTCCAGAATGGAAAAATCCAAAAAAGAGGGAACAGAGATTCGCGGTTGCCTCAGGCTGGGAGGAGGGAGGAATGGAGAGTTTCCGCTAAAGGTCGAGGGGTTTCTTTTCAAGTGATGAAAATGTGTTAAAAAGATAGTGATGATAGTTGCACCACACTGTGAATGTACTAAAACCCACTGAATCAGAGACTTTAAAAGGTGAAGTTTACAGTATGCGAGTTGCGTCTCGGTCAAGCTGTTGGGTAAAAGCAACAGCAAATGCACGAGGACACACAGGGGACACAAGTGAAGAAGGAGTTCGCGAACCGGAATCTGAGCCTCCAGAAATGATCAAGAATGTGTGCAAGGGGTGAGGAGATAGAAGATGGAAGGAAAGGTCAGAACACCCAACGGGTCGCGTGCAGAGCGCTGAGGGGAGTCTGGGCAGAGCCCCAAAGGGAAGAGAGCCAGTGTTGGAAGACATGATGCGTCAGAACCAGTGATGGAGACACGCCTGCGTCCAGCTCTTGATTTCGGCTCCAGATCCAGCCCCACGTGTCGGGCTCTGCGCTGGGCAGGGGTGGGGGGCCTGCTGGAGAGTCTCTCTCTCTCTCTCCCGCTCCCCCTCCCGCTCCCCTTCTCTCTCTTAAAAAAAAAAAAAGAACTGATGAAAGAAGCATTTACAGAGAAGCACCGTGTGTGCTAAATAGAATCAATAAGCAGGAAATTCGCACCTAGTACGGCGTCGTGAAGCTGCAGACCACTGAAGGCAAAAGAAGATGCTTCGGTAGCCGACAAGAAAGGGACCCGAGCTCCAAAGGAACGGCAGCTAGGCTGGCAGCTTTGGCAGCAGCAGGGGCGCCAAGACAGGGAAGAAGTACCCAGGAAGTGTGCTCAGACGAAAAGAACTGTCAGCTAAGAACTTTACACGCTGTTTTCCAAAAATCAGTGCAAAATAAATGTTTCAGATAACTCAAGGTTTAGACAAATAAATGTCTTCAGATGACATTTTGGAGATGTTGAGAGAGCTTACCTCTAGCAGGCATTTTTAAAGAATGTACTTCAGGAGGGAAGGGCTAGACATGAGAAGGAGCTGCGTGAAGAGACTGGCTGACGAGAGGGAAATGGCAGTTCGCTTTGTCGTCTAAGACGGTAGGAGCGTGCGGCAGGTGAAGTTTGAGCTGCAGCATGTGGAACGGGAGGAGGTGACTGAGTCAGAGGGTCCCCAGACCCTTGCACTGTTTGAGAGGCAGCGCCGCTCACCATGAACGTTAGACTGTGTGCAGACATTAAGGTTGCAGGGAAGGTTTCGTGGTAACCAGCCCCTCGTGTGGGAACCCTACCTGTGCACAGGCTGGGAATGGAAAGGTCGGTGTGTCTGGCACTCAGTGACTGGGGGCGGGGGGAGGTGGTGGAGGGAGGTGAAATCAGAAAAGAGGGCAAATGTCAGACCCTCTGTGGCTTTGAAGTCATATTACAGATCATGGACTGTGTCCCAAGCACTTTAGTGTACTAGTTGGGAAGTCTTTGAATTACAAGTCAAAATGCCCATCCATGAGTGTGATGGTTAATTCTGTGTGTCAACCTGGTTGGTTCACAGCGTCCAGATATTTAGTCAAACATTGTTCTGGGTGTTCCTGTAACATTTATATCAGTAGACTTTGAGTGAAACAAATTTCTCTCCATGGTGTGGGTGGCCCTCATCCAATCAGTTGAAGGCCTGGATAGAACAAAAAACTGACTTGCTCTGAGCAAGAGGGAGTTCTGCCCACAGCCGGCCTTTGAACTTGAAGGAGCACTGGCTCTTACTGACCCTCCTGCCGGACTCCGGAAATCACATGAGCCAATTCCTTAACATAAATCTTTCTGTACAAATATACACATCCCATTGGTTCTGCTTCTCAGGAGAACCCTGACTGTCACAGGAGTCTGGGCTGGTGGGGCTTGAAGCTCACCAGAGGCTCTGTCCCTTTCCCCTGAGCCTCCCAGCCTTCCCATCAATATCAAAGGAAGACACACAGGGAAAGGGAGCTGGGATTGGCTTCAAGCTCGGTGGTCAGCACTGTCTGCAGAAGCAGGGGTGGAAAGAGCTGAGGCAGGGCACACACATCATCAGCTGACATTTCAGATGATCCCCATGGCTGCTGAGTAGAGAATGGCCTGGAATTTCTAGAACAGAAGAAGGGGGTCGGTGAGGAGGATGGGGCTCAGATGCAGGGGCAGCAGTAGACGTGGTTCACAAGATTTGGTGCTGTGTGTCCAGGATGCTTACCGTCAGGGCTCTGGCTTGGGAAGCAGATGGGTCCAGGGCAGGACAGCGAGCACGTTGCACGTGAGCGGTGTTAAAGAATCTTCCTTCGTTGGACATGCGCGGGCAGCACCAACAAGAGATGTAAGGTCCCTGCGGGGCTCAGAGGAGCTTCTGGGGTGGAGACATAAATGTGGTCCTGGTTGGCACAAAGGAACAGATGGACTTACCAGGTGAGAAGCTGGCGAGAGCTCGAGGCCCCAAGCAGCTAAGCTACAAATCAAGTCCTGGCATAGGCGCTTGGCATCCCGCAGGTGGATGAGGGCCTCACGGACGTCGCTGTTGCCCGCCCCCCGGCAGCCCCGAGTCCAGGAGCTGTCTGTCCACCTGTCCTCCTCTCAGGGCCATGGGGCCCACGTTGGCTCAGGTGCCAACAAAAGGGTTCGCGCAGAGGGCCCTTCCCCTCTCTGGTCCTGCTGTTCTGCAGACCCACCCCTCCCTAGGCTACACCCGCTGCCTCCAAGTCTCCCAGAGCCGCCTGTGCCCCAGCTGTGCCCACAGGACTCCCCGGCAAAGCCCCAGTGTTCTCCCAGCTCTGGGAGACTCCTCCTCTGCCCCAACCCACCCCCCTAATTCCCCTCAGCTGAAACGTGCCCCCAAGACCCCCCCCCCACCCAGGTCTGAGTCTGTGTCTAGTACAGGGGTGGTTAGCCCGTCTCCCATGGGACAGTCACCTCCTCCCAGGCTGGCGTCCTAAGGGCATTTCTGCCCCCAGGCTTCAGCGCCTGCACCACTCCCACCTGCCACCTTCCTCTCCACCTCCCTGTGCCAACGACCCAGGCAATCAATGGAAGATCCCTGCAGAGGAAGTTGCACCAGGTCAAGCCACAGCCTCAGACGCACCGTGCTCCCTGCGCTTTCCTTCCTCTCAGCCTTTGCTTGCACACTCCTGGGCCCGGAACATCCATCCCACACCTCACACCAGGCACACGGAAACCCTCCCACCCTGCACTTTCTTTTTGCAGTAAACGGTCCTGGGCACCTCCCCCAAAAGGACCCTCTGGTGGCCCTGGAGCCCCCAGGGTCCAATCTTAGACCCTCCCGTCCCCTCCCCTGAAGGCACTGCCTCTGGGAAACCCCCATGGCCCCGCACCTGGCACAGAGCAGCTACCTGACCCACCTGCGGTGCCAGGACTCTGTGGCCC